CACCTCCTAGTGGTATATGCTAAATTGGCTCATTGCAAGTATAACATATTTGACAAACATGACTAAAAAAAAATTCAATAGTTTATGAAGTAGGAAATCTGACAAATAGAACAGAAAAAGCATTCTATTTCATGTTAAGGAAAAAAGCCTTCAGAACCATGAAAACTAGATTTCTATTGTTTCTGAGCTTCCCAGTCTATGGCATTTTTATTATAGCACCCTGAGTAGATTTAAGATACCAAAAATTACAAAATTTGTAAAGGAAAAAAGTTGCCTTTTTTTTTTTTTAAAGATTTATTTATGCATTCGGGTGCAGTGAGAGGGTTCACCAGACTCAGGGTGGGGAGCGGAACAGGCTGACTGATGAAGTACACTGCTGAGGGGGGCAATGGGCAGGTCAGAAGAGGTCTGCCATGCCATGTGGGTCACCTCTGAGGTGGGGTTCGAACTCATGCTAAAGTGTCTTTAGCTTCTTAGTGCTGTGCTTTAACCCTCTGTGCCACCAGGGAGGGCCCCAGTTGTCATTTTTAATCCAAGAAAATCTGTAAACTGTCAAAACTAGTTAAACATGTTTTCGGTTTACAAGTGCAATAAGTAAAAAGGTGACGTTAAGAAATTCTTTCTGGGCCCTCCCTTGTGGCACAAAGGTTAGGACGCAGCACTGCAAGCTATCTGCAGCCACTTCAGTGCGAGTTCTGTCCCCAATCCCAGAGGTGACCCACATGGCGCAGCAGACCTTTCCTGACTGGCCTACTGCTCCCCTCAGCAGTTTACTTTGTCTATCTGCCTGTTCTGCTCCCCATTCTGTCTCTGATGAATCCTCTCACCATCCCTGCACTTCTGGCCTGGACCCCAGTTCTGTATATCTAAATAAGTAAAAAAAAAAATCTTAAAAAAAAAAAAAAATATATATATATATATATATTCTTAAACCATCCCTTCCTACTAAGTATAAATTACCTTCGGTTATGGGTCCTCCCTGGTGGCACAGTGGGTTAAAGCACAACACTATGAAGCTATCTGCAGCTAAGGTAGCACAAGTTTGATACCCAGCCAGGGAGGTGACCTACATGGTGTGGCAGACCTCTCCTGTCCCGTCCACTGTTCCCCTCAGTAGTGTATTTCAGTGCATCCACCTATTCTGTTCCCTATTCTGTCTCTGGTGATCCTCTCACCCACCCATGCCCTCCCCCCCACACACACCATTGGCCTATACCCCAGTTCTTGTGTGTATAAATAAATTTAAAAAAATTTTTAAATCACCTTGAATTACATCTAAAAGCAGCAACAAGAAATAGACATTATTGGACAGATTATGAAACTTGATTTAATAAGAGGAAATCTAAATAAATGGCCAATACCATATGCTCCAGTGGAAAGATTGGTATTTTTTAGGTGTTCATTTGCCACAGATGTGTGAATAATGTATTTCAATCAAGATCTCAAGATTTTTAGAGAACTGGACAGCTTAGTTATAAAGTTCATATGGGGTAAAATTCATATGGAAAGGCTAAAGTAATCAGACAGTTTTGAATGAAAGAAATAAGGAAGGAATCTTCGATGTCATGTTTTTTTTTAATAGTGATTAATTCAGTCTGTTACTGGCACAGGGGCTGTAGGCCAGTGATAATGGAACCTCGGACAAGAACTAAAGTGCTGTTACTTATTTTGGGAAGTGAAAACCCATGTAGATAAAGTGAAGGGAGAAAATCAGGCAAGAACTGTGAAGTGATGTGATACATTACCTTGGAAGGTGGAACTATGTCCAAATCTAAAAAAATCATACCTCAGAGAAGTTCCTAAAGGGGAAAACAGGGTGACAATTTATCTCCCTGACTCCCTTATGCCCCTACCCCTTCCTACTGGTCAGGTTTCATTGCATTGGGAGATGACTCACTCACTTCCAGATTGTACCATCCAGCCCATAGCACCTGCTCAAGAAGCAGCATCCCTCTCACCAGGTGGCATTCCTGCCACCCATCCCTGGAAGTAGAGGAACAGCTCAGCGTAGGTCTGAGTGAGTACCAGGCAGGTCCAGGACTTAAGCTTAGACTCCTGCTGGTCCAGAGGTGAAACAAGGGGACCATCCACAATGACAGCAGAGCAATTCAAGAGGCAGGCAGTTTCTTCAAAAGAATGAATGTTAGGAGAATCTAGAGGTAGTAATTTCCCAGGGGTGCCTTTGTGACCTCTCTGTAAGGAAAGTTTTTAAAACAAGACCAAAAAAGCACACATCAAAAAAAAAAAAAAGGATAGAGTGATAAACTTAACTATCTGAAAGTTTAGAAAAAGCATTAACAAAAAGTTTTAACTAGAAACACTATGAGTCATCAACCTGAGACTGAGAGAAGATATTTAAGATGCATGAAACCAATAAAAGGTAATTCTGCCAAATTCATAATTCTACCAAAAATGGTACAAATCAGTAGGAAAAATATAAACAACCAAAATAGGCTAATTTTGTGAGTTGAGGACATATACACATATAATACAGTGACCAGTAAACATGAAAAGCTGTTTTTAAAAAAAGTAATGAAAAGATCTCAGTACCAGAGAAACTCAAAATCCATGTTTTTAAATGCCTTTTAGATGATCAAATCTCTCGTGGAGCAGAGAAATGTCTGTCCCTAAAATTTGTCCATTATTTGGCTCATCTCTACTGGGTTCTGCTTTAAGTTTCAGTCTTGGCCTTTGACTTAATGCTCTGAATCATTTTCAATACGATCATCATACTCACGATAGGGCTGTTGTATTAATCAAAACATTAACCCAGTTCTTACCACTAGTTTGTCATGACTTTCTGGTATCGCGGTGTACCTAGAAAGATGATACTATTTTAGAATTTTGTACATAAGTAAATAGACCTAGGATAAGACCTAAGCATTTAGGCAGGTTGGTTACATATATCTTTTTATAGGCCTGTTTTATTAGAGGCCTTTTTAATTTTCTTTTTGACTCTGGGACCTTATCCCTATTAGGCAAAGTTGCTAGGTAGATGAGTTGTAATGAAATCTAATTTAATCAGTCCGTTTGTCATTGTTTACATAGACATTCTATACTTCCACCTCCTAGTGGTATATGCTAAATTGGCTCATTAAATATAAAAAGTTGAATGTTGGAATAATAGTTGAATGTTGGCATACAGATGTGTTTCTTTGTGAAAGAAATCGAATGATTTGTGCCTTTTAAATTCACTGTTTGAACCTGTAAATAAGATTACTCTTTAAAAACAGCTTATTGGGATGAGTTACTATATAAGTTCACTCATTTAGAGTGTACATGTCAGTGACTTGTATTTCTTTCCCAGTTATGCATGCATCTGTCACCACAATATTAGAACATTTTAATTACCCTCAAAAAAAAACAAACAAAACTGTACCTCTCAGCAACTACTCCCAGCCCCCTTTGCAGTCGGCCAACAGTATTCTTTCTCTGTATAGACTTGATGATTCTGGACATTTATGTTAATAGTCATACAGCACATGACCATTTGTGACTGCCTTCTTTAACTTGCAGTGTTTTCAAATTTGCATCATGTATTAGTACTTCATTTATTTTTCTAGCTGAATAATCTGTTGATTGGATATACTATATTTATCTGTAGTTTCCATTCTGTGTGGCTTCTACTTTTGCTATTACAAATTATGTTGCCAATGGAAGTGAAGTCTTATGTTTACATATGCTTATAAGTATGTCTGGGAGTGGAATTGCTATAATGTTACCATTACCAAAGTGCTTAACTTTGAGGAACTACCACTTTTCACAGCATCTATATGGATTTTACTCTCACCCATGATGTGTAGGATTTCCAATTTCTCTGCACCCTCACAAACACTTGTAACTGTGTCTTAGTAGCCATGGCAAAGTGGTACCTCACTGTGTCTTTTAAAAGCATAAAACTTAAATCACACCTCAGATGTTTTCCCTAGCTTATATACATTTAAATTTATGATAGATTTTTTTTAATTGTTGATTTCACTTTTTCTAACAGGCCAAGGAAATTTTAACAAAAGAATCAAATGTACAAGAGGTTCGTTGTCCTGTTACAGTCTGTGGAGATGTACACGGTCAATTCCACGATCTTATGGAACTCTTTAGAATTGGTGGAAAATCACCAGATACAAATTACCTGTTCATGGGTGACTATGTAGACAGAGGTTATTATTCTGTGGAGACTGTGACTCTTCTTGTTGCATTAAAGGTATGATAAATGAAATTCCATTTCCCCCACCCCCCAAGCTTTAAATCAGTAAAAGGAAGTATTGAAATACAGCTTGTAATGCCTTAAAATGATCGTTAATTTTACATCTTTTGAAAGAGAGAATGATACCTCAAATTTCCCCTGCTTGATTCTTAGCTTGAATCATTTTCCTGGGTAATCCATAACTGAAGTCTTAGAATCATTTTTTTATACTCATTCAAAACATCTCTTTATTTAAAACACATCTTAAAATTTGCTTGTAAAATCTTATTTGTGACTGTTTTGACTTATCACTACACAATTTATATCTTTCTCTCTTCACATTTCAGTTACATGTTTACTTACATATCTGCGTCCGAGATCTGATTCCTCCTAATGTACTTTGCTCCCTACATATGCTGTCAGACTAAATCTCACCACAACACACATAATAGTTTTTGCCCCTGAATTGATTCCATGTTGCCTGGAACTCAAACTTCTTGTCTAGTTCTCTGTAAACTAGCCTGACTTTGCCTGGTAGAATAAACTCTTTGCCTCATAGAGTTTCGATGTTCAGCCTACCTCTTACTTACCTTTTTCCAAAACTCACCTCACTTCCCAACTCCTATTTCTTCTGTGAAGCTTTGTACCATGTTTACCTTACCCTTCTACTCTAAATTACCATGAAACTTACATTACATAATGGTTTATTGCCTTCTGTTTCTTTCATGTACTTCTCAGTCTCTACAGAGCACAAGTAATGTATTACACTTGTGTGGACCTGTCATTTAGTATTAAGCACTGAGTTTAATGTTGAACACATATTGCATGCTTAGTAGATATGTATGAATGAAAGTATTTATTTGCAACTTTTGATGAATTTGTTTTACAGAACTTAGCAGACAGATTCCTAACTAAATAGTGTGCTATAGGAATTTTTCTGTGTTATTTCTAGAATTTTAATGCATTTAAAGTCTTGCCCAGATGTGGCAGGGCTTTTTTTTATTTAGTAATATAATTGGCAAGGGTTATTTTTATTGGCAAATATAATCTTCCTGTGGGAAATAGAAGTCAAAAAGAGGAAGAGATTAGCTATAGAGCAGTTTGTCCCCATTCCAAATTTCTGAGTTTTTTAGTACCCATTCAGCAGAGTTCTAGAAAAAAATAGATTACATTTGAGATAAAGAATCAAATGCAGGTTTATTATAATAAAGTTATCAGTTAATAAGGAATTTATTGAAGGTGGTATAAGTAATAATGCAGGATGACTACAGGAAATATTTTAATCAAAAGGACCTGGCTGTGAATTAACAAAAAAAATTACTATTAAGAAACACTAGTATTTAATTTACTAGCAGAAAAAAGAGCCATAAGAAATGGGCTGAAGGTAAATGTGCTTAATATGAAACTATTAATAGGAAAAATAGTGCTTTGTGCCATGGATTTCTCCTGCTTTTTCTCCAGGTGCGGTATCCAGAACGCATTACAATATTGAGAGGAAATCATGAAAGTCGGCAGATTACCCAAGTTTATGGCTTTTATGATGAGTGTCTGAGAAAGTATGGAAATGCCAATGTTTGGAAATATTTTACAGATCTGTTTGATTATCTTCCACTTACAGCTTTAGTAGATGGACAGGTATGTATGTGTATACTTACATGTTTTGAGGAGGCAGGGTGAGCTAAAAAATAAAAGAATTTCTAATTTAGAGTCTAGATTTTTACATGACTTAACTTTTCCACAAGTTTTTGGCCTTTTTCTGCTTCTTTCCCTATATTTAAGATTTCAGAACATTAAATAGGGTAAGTTTTATTTACTTGATCAGTAAATTTCACTGTTCTCAGTATAGTCTTTTGACCAAAGACTGTGCCACTGATTTTTTTATTATAAGTGTTATAAATAAATGCTTGAGATCCTAATGTGCAATACTAGTAGAACAAAGCTTTTAAGATTTATTTAAGATTTTGTTTTTGTTTTAAGATTTATTTATTTATGTTTACAGAACTGTGGTACAGGCCAGAGGTCTGGTGGGTGCGAGGACTCACCAGAGACAGAGTAGGGAGCAGAACAGGCAGATCTGCAGAAATGTACTGTTGAGGGGAACAGTGTGTGGGTCAGGAGAGGTCTTACATGTCATGTGGGTAAGCTCCCTGGCGGGGGAAATCAAGCTCGTGCTGCAGTGGCTTCTGAGAGCTTCATAATGCAGTGCTTTAACCCGTTGTGCCACGAGGGATAGCCCAGCTGTTTCTTTTATTAACTGTCTACTATGTTTGCTGGTAATCATTAATAACTTTTTATTCCTAGTATCATAGTATAAGCAGTAATCCTGTTTATTAATATGTCCTTGATTAAGAAATAGATGTCCTCATCTATAGTAAGTACATAATACAAAATATTTAGAAGTATAAGAAAAACATATATATGCCTTTTCTGTTATCCCAATTTTTAGAAGTTATGACTGAGCATGAACTGACTTGAATTGAATTTTAATATAAAGCATAAAATAACAGTACAGTTCTTAAACTATAAAAAAAAAAACAGCTGTTGGTCGAGGGTATAGTAGATTCCCTCTGACACTGTATGTGGGAATATAATTTGGTTATGATCTTTTTCTGTGTGATCCAAACAGTCCATCTTTACCCAGGCATGGTTTTGGATGCCATAATAATTAATTTAAAAGGTCTGTATTTTGCATAGACTTTCTAAAATGAATTTAAAGGATGTGAAATTTTAATTAAGGATTTTAATTTTAATCTTCATTAATATAATAAATTATTGTAGGACAGTCTGACAGCATTGATAGTGAATCTAGTTTTTTAAATGGATACGTTAGTGGAGCTTTTATTTATTGAATGTGTTCAAGTCAAATTATGTATTTTTCTTTCTTCAGCAACTTAACTTTATTAAGTCACTGGTTTTTCCTATCATAGTATTTTTAAGAAACAAGAAAGTCTTACACACACATTATTGTTGACAGATTAGTGTTTATAAAGTGTAGTTACAGACTTTATATACTCCAGAAATCTGGATGAAAAATAAATATATAGAGCATTTAAACAATGTGACAAATTTACTTAACAGATAAAAGAGTATGTAGACTTTAGTATATTGGTACCCAATAAACAAAACCAAATAATCTCACATATCTACCCTTCCTTCACTCCTCTCTTTCTCCCTTCTTGCCTTGCCTTCTCTACTTTATTTTCATCTATATCCATATGTTAAGTGAAATTCTCTAATTGAAATTAGAACAAAACTCAGACTAGAAACTAAACAGAAAAGGGAAATGAAAAATTCTGCTTGCTTGGAAACTTTTACAGTTTTCTGACAATCAGAAAATAAAAGGTAGGAATTTAAATCATTTCTATGTGATGATTGGAAGCATGAGTATAGACCAAAACTTGGATGTTAATAAAAAATGAAATGCAAGAAAATGTGTAGCCTTACATCTGTTTTTGTACCAAAAGAGAAAAGAAATAAGTGATACCAAAAACAGGTGGTGTTTTTTTTTTTTTTCCAAAAAAAAGTCTACTAGAAATGGTCAAAACTAATGTAGATAAAAAGAGGGAGGGTGACATGAAACAGTAAGGATAAGAAATAACATTGCTATTGTAAATATAGAAGCAGTTATGTATCATAAAAACAAGAATTAACAAGTACCAATAAACTTGAGAAGCTGAATGAAGTGTATAAGAGCAGAACATTGATTATACAAGTATTTTGAAAACTAGACCAATGCAAATAAACTACAAGATTCAGGGGGGAAAATGGAAAAGTAACCAATTTAATAGGTGAATTCCCAAGCCCTTTAAAAAAAAAAGAAAAATGGAGAGCTTCAAAACTCTCTGTACAGCTAGTATGACCCCATTTAACTTGGCAAGCACATAAAATTACACCAAAAACATTTGGAAAAAAAGTCCTTTATCTTACTCATTTAAAACTCATTTACTAAGGAATAAAATAAAATAGTACTAATTAGTTAAAGAAACTCCCTGTACTCATCAGCAAAACATCAGAAACCCTATCAAAGTCAGGGGAAAAGATACTGTCAGACTGTAGTCTCTCTGATTCATAATCACTAGAAAATGAACCTGGATATAGCTATTTACCAAACCCAAAAATCTTGTGTTATTCAGTTTTGATTTTAGAACACTTAATAACATCAAGAATTAAAAAGTACAAGTAAGAAAATAGCAAGTAATGTTTGCAAAAACATTGGGTGCTCAGAAATCTTGGAAATGAAAAATGATTGGCAGTACTGATATGAATCAGAGTGCTTTCTGTGAGAGAAAAAAACATACAACTCAGTAACAATAGGAAACAATGCTGGGTCACAAATATGGAAGGAGATTCCATCCACTTAAAAAGGAAAAAACTCGGGACCCTCCCTGCTGGTGCAGCAGGTTAAAACACAGTACTAAGAAGCTAAAGCCACTTCCGCATGAGTTCGATTGCCGCTTGCCCAGGAGGAGATCCACATGGTGAGGCAGACCTCTCCTGACCCGCCTGCTGCTCCCCTCAGCAGTGTACTTTGTCGATCTGCCTGTTCTGCTCCCCTCTCTGTCTCTGGTGAATACTCTCACCCTCCACATCTCTGGCCTGTACCCCAGTTCCATATGAATAAATAAATTAAAAAAAAAAAAAAAGGGAAAAACTCACTATGAAACTTATAAAATTTAAGTTTATTTTGAAAAGAAAAGCTATTTGTACTTGCCTTTGTAATCATCACTTATTCTTTATTAATTTTTAAAAATTAATAAAGGTATTTTCTAAATTCATAAACAGATATTCTGCCTCCATGGTGGCCTGTCTCCATCCATAGATACACTGGATCATATAAGAGCCCTGGATCGTTTACAAGAAGTTCCACATGAGGTAAATAAACTTAGTTTTTAGAAGAAATATTGTGGTAAAGCGAAGTTATAATAATTTATAACATCACTTAATGTTCTTGGCAGGGCCCAATGTGTGATCTGTTATGGTCAGATCCAGATGATCGTGGCGGGTGGGGTATTTCACCACGTGGTGCTGGCTATACATTTGGACAAGACATTTCCGAAACCTTTAATCATGCCAATGGTCTCACACTGGTTTCTCGTGCTCATCAACTTGTAATGGAGGTATGTCCTTTTCCTACAGGATTATGACTTTTATTTGAATTAAGTATACGTCTATTATAAGACTTGATGATTTAGAATATTAGAAACATTACTCCCTATTATCGAAATAAAAGGAAAAAAACTTGGCTAGTATTTGCATGCAGGAAAGTACTCAGTACTCAAGCCAGACCAGAATTATAACTGACACTTGAAGTTAATTTAGACTTAGTGAAAAGTTGCAAAAATAGCAGCAAGAAATTCCTTTGTAGCCTACACTCAAATCCCTTACCTTGTATTTGCTTTACTATTATGTCTCTCCCTCCCTGTCCCTTTTCTCACATCTGTTTCTTGTTTTTGACATACATAATGGTCCTTTACCCCCAAATTTCCATGTGTACATAATTAAATAAGGGTTTTCTATTATATAACCACAATACAATTATCACACAGGCAATTTGCATTGTTATATTTGATTATCATTAATGTCCTTTCTAGCAAAATTTAATTGTTAATGTGCTTATATAATCTAATCCTGAATTGAGATCTTCTGCAGCCTTTGATATGGATATAATTCTTAAGATTTTGTGTTTTGCGTTTTTTGTTTTATTTTGTAGAATTAGCTTTCATATGGTTTGATTGGTGTTTGGTGGTTATAGACTTAGGGTATGTGTTATTGGTGGGCATATCACAGAAAGATGTTGTGTCTGTCTCAGTCCCATCATATCAGAGGTTATAAAATCATTTTGTATCACTACTAGTGGTGTTAACTTGGATTACTTAGTTAAGGTGGTATCTGTCAGATTAAGGTGACTTCAAGATATTAGAGAAAATATTACAGACCCATGGAGGCAAGAGGAGAAATAAGAGCATGGAAAATAAAGAGCACAAATTTATATGGTAAAGATAAATCTAGTTATATTGGAAGTTAAATAGGAAATGAAAATTTTTACTTCTCTTAAAAACTGAAACTCTCAAATTGGATAAATAACCAGAATGTGCTTATTATTTGGGATGTGTCTAAAAGATAACACCACAGACTAGAAATAGGGATGGACATTTATGTAATCATATATCAATTTAGATAATTATACAAAAGACAGCTAAATCAGAATAAACGCTAAAAAAGAAGCAGAAATAGTCACTAATTGATGAAAAATGGGTCAGTTCTCTAGGGATAAATAATTCTAAATTTGTATCTAATAATAGAATCAAAATTAATAAAGTAAAAATTTACATAGATTGTGAGGAGAATAGAGAAATCGGTTATCAGTGTGGGAGAAATTTGAAAATGCATCCTAGCCAAAATCCTAAGCATATAATAAACAAAAAGCAATACCACACTCATGTAATACAGCCCCGTGCCCAGCAGCACAGTATTATGGTACCATATAAGGTAACACAAAACACTTAGAAGTTTACTGTGTCTAGATTGTTTGTTTTTGTTTTAAAGATTATTTATTTATGCTTACAAGTACTGGGGTATAGGCCAGAGGTGTGAGGAGTGAGAGGATACACCAGAGACTGAGTGGGAAGCAGAACAGGCAGATCTACTGAGTTACACTGTTGAGCAGGACAGGAGAGATCTGCTGTGCCATGTGGGTCACCTCCCTGGCAGGGATCGAACTAGTGCTGCAGTGGCTGTGGATAGCTGTATAGTGCTGAGACCCAGCTTCTTGCACTAGCAGGAAGGCCCATGTGTCATGGTTATTTTATACTACAGTAATTTTTATAGTGATATATTGATTTTTTTTTTTAATGCTGCAGGGATACAATTGGTGTCATGATCGGAATGTGGTTACCATTTTCAGTGCACCTAATTACTGTTATCGTTGTGGAAACCAAGCTGCTATCATGGAATTAGATGACACTTTAAAATATTCCTTGTAAGTAACTTAAAATTTTAAATGGAAAATTTTAGAAGGAAAAAAATCTAAATGTAAATTTAGGGAAAGGTGGGGGTACATGAGTCTATGGTAAAGGACTAAGTATGGATGATTGAATAGTGGGAATCAGGTGGTAACATACATCTAAAAGGGTGTGATCCTATTCCCTTAAATCATGAACAGTGTTGTGAATCAGTGTTAGCTCAATAAAGGAAATAAATTAAAATACTAAGATCTTAGAGGTAACAGCCCATCTGTGGAATGTAAGCCAGAATGTGCTCCCTCCCCCTACTTCCAGGTTCTTTGACAGAAAATGATCTAGGCATTCTACTCTCGTGGGCATGATCAAGAGCATGAGGGCTTCTCCCTCTCACTAGCTTTCACTTGGAGGGGGAAGGGCAATGGGAAAGACAGTGTCAGGTGCCACCATATCTTACCTACCCCCGTCGTAGATTACAAAGTTCTCTTCTTTGTGTCTGCACTCTAGCAAGTTGAGGTTTCCTCCACCAATCTCCTAGTACATAAGTTCTACTCTAGGCAAGAATAATAGCAGGAGCTGCTGTTTATTTAACAGGATGTTTATAACAAGTAGGCAAAAATGGTGAAGGTGGTCAAAAGTTATGTCATTGTCCTAAGGCTATAATGTACACCTTTGTGACTATTAATATACTATGTATTTGAAAATTGCTAAAAGTAGATCCTAAAAGATTTTGCCTCAGGGACAAAAATTTAACTGTGTAGTTATGGATGTTAATCAGACATATTGATGTGATAGTTTCCCGTACATACATAGATTGAATTATGTTGTACACCCAAATTGTTTAGTGTGTCACATCTATCGATTTTAAAAAATAACGCAAACCACCCCAGGTTAAGCAAAAAGAAAAATAAACTGAAGATTGGTGGCAAAGCAGGCAACTATAACTACACAAAGCTCAGGAGTAGTCACATAAAAGTTCTGTTATTGGTGAAAGACAGACAGAAAGTTCCTCAGCTCTGCTTGAGAGTTGCCTGACTGGGTCAGTGAGTAATTCAAAGGTTAAATATTTTTACCCAAAATCTAGAATGAAACAAGCATGTCGGTTTTCACCACTTACATTCAAATGATACTGCAACCCTTTTATGCCAGACATTTTGTATGTTTAAATTTTCACCATAGCTCTGTGTAATAGTTTTATGGAAAATAGCTACAGTGACTGGCCCAGTCATTCCAGTCATAAGCAGTACAGTAAAAATGGGAAACCAGGGCTGTGTTTTGTACTTCAGTGTCTTATTCTTTATTAATTCACTGGCAAAGTCAAGTTCCTTAATTATTTGCTTTCATTTTTTGCCATTTATAGCCTTCAGTTTGACCCAGCACCTCGTCGTGGAGAGCCGCATGTTACTCGGCGTACCCCAGACTACTTCCTATAAATTCATATTGAGAAAATCTGACTTTGTATGTGGACGTATACTGGGCTTTTTAAAATATATATATTTAAAAAAAAAAAAAAGGCAACAGTAAGCTATGTGTTTCAGTAACTAATCGGGGTATATCTTGGCATTAAACCACATCATGGACCAAAATGTGCCATACTAATGATGAGCATCTAGCACAATTTGAGACTGAAATTTAGTACGTTATGTTCTAGATCAGTCATTTTTAACAATTTGCCTGCTGTATTTGTGTAACCATTTTCCTCTGGACTGTTCAAGCAAAAAAGGTAACTAACTCCTTCATCTCCTTTTGCACTTACTTGGAAAGTTTAGTTAATAGTGTTTAACTGGCATGGATTAATAGAGTTGGAATTTTACTTTTAAGAAAATTCACAGGCTCACTTCCATTTAATCCATTATCCTTTATATTTTATTGAAATGTATAATTAACTTAACTGAAGAAGAGTCTTCTTGGGAGTATGTTGTCATAACATTGAGAGAGATTTCCCTTCATGTAAACTAAATTACTGTTTTTTGTTGATTTGCATATTTCTGTATGTGTCCTGACAGTGCTTGCATCCTCTGTGGTGTACTGAGCAAATAAACTTTCCATTTTAAACAAAAACATTGTTTTACTCTGGTGGTCTTTATATGAAAGTTTAAATATTTTGAAACATACAAAATTTGTTGACGATAGTAATCAAACTAATGTTTATATCGGTTTATTTTTGAAAAAAATTGTTTTGATAGCTCTTAGATATGAAAAATGCCATTTTTAATTTCTAAACATTTCATTAAATAACTTACATTAATGTACTTATTTTTTTAAAGATGTATTTGTACATAAAAGAACTGGGGTACAGGCCAGAAGTGCAGGGGCAGTGAGAAGATTCACCAGAGACAGAGTGGGGAGCAGAACAGGCCGACTGACAAAGTATACTGCTGAGGGCAGCACCGGGCAGGTCAGGAGAGGTCTGCTGCCATGTGGGTCACCTCCACAGTGGGGATCAAACTCATGCTGAAATGGCTTTGGCTTCTTAGTGTTGTGCTTTAACCCACTGCGCACCAGGGAGGGCCCAATAAATAAATCTTTTAAAAAATTGTTTGTTTGTATCCCATAGCCATACTAAGTACTTACCAGAAATTACTTGGGATTTTTTTAGTACAAAATCATGCTGCCCATTAAATACAAAGCTTTTTTTTTTTTTTTAAAGATTTATTCATACAGAACTGGAGTACAGGCCAGAGATGCAGAGGGTGAGAGGCTTCACCAGAGACAGAGTGGGGATCAGAACAGGCAGATGGATGAAGTACACTGCTGAGGGAGTGTCAGGAGCGGGTGGGTCAGGAGAGGTCTGCCATGCCATGTGGTCACCTCCGGGGCAGGCGGGAATCGAACTCATGCGGAAGTGGCTTTAGCTTCTTAGTGCTGTGCTTTAACCCGCTGCACCACCAGGGAGGGCCCCAAATACAAAGCTTTTTTCTTACTAATCTTTGCATATTTTTATGTAATATTAACTGAGATTACCAAAGTTTCATGTTAGCCTTAGGCGTTTTGAAGGTATTTATCCTTTATCAGTTTCTTTTATACAGTGTTATAGTTCAACATGTTTTTACTCAGCCTAACATTGTCTTTTAACTGGGGTACTTCCACCATTAAGTGTAATTAGCATAGTTAGATTTAAGTAAAACAGAATTAATCTGATGTTTTGCTCCAGTAGCCTCCGAGGCAGTCACCTGCAGACTTGATTGCACTAATGCAGGAGGTGCCTGGGAGCAGGGGCACTGGGCACGTGTACCTGATGGTGGACACCTGGAGTATGGATGTGGGCATGCGTAAATGTGCACACCTGAGCCTGGAAGGCAGCAATTTAAGGGGGCCTCCCTCAAACAGCTACCAGAGGACAAGTGACTGCGTAAGAGGCTAGGCCGTGAAGAACGCCAGAGAGAGCCCAAGAGAAAGCGCATAAAGACTTGTGTGGCTTCCTGGGAGACTCAGTTGCCTACCTGCCTCCTCGCTGGCCAGCCTCCCTACCTGGTGTGCCTGGTTTCCTGAGTGCATTAAAAGTCCACCAAGGGCTCTGGGACTATCTATCTGCTGGAATTAATAGTGAACCTACCCCATACCTACTAGTACAAGGCCCCGTTGGTGCTTGCTTGAGGTGAGATTTTCTTATTTTACTCCTACCTGTGGCAGTGAATCTGTGCTTGGTTTAGGTTGGAAGTTTTCTCTACCACCCTGTTTTTGGGGTTTCTCTACCAAACATGTTTGGTATCTATCTAGCCCTTTAGTAGGAGACCTTACGTCTGCTTCCACTGCTTGTCAGAAAAAGTGGATCATTTACCAATGTCCTGTGCTAAATTAGTACTTAGTTTAACACCTCCAGCAGGTTAAGACTTCAGCTTTGTAGAAGGTGAGGAGGTTGGGGTTTCATGCTTGTTATTTCACAACCACATCACCACCTACTTTGCACCAAGGTTGGCTTTCTCTCACTCTGCCTTCACTTGAACAATGAACACCTCAGGGCTATGGAGAAGGACTTTAAAATGAGCAAAAACTCCCTTTGTGCCTGAGGCTTCAAGCCAAGACTGACTTCATAAAGGACTTGCTGTCTTTCTGAATTCCCACATTTCCATCTTTCACTTAGACCCACAAATAACTAGTGCTGTTTCAAAATGATGCAGTAGCCCACGTTTGACCTTTCAAAATGTTAAAGTCATGGCTGATTTTTTTCTCATCTGTTTATAGAGCAGTCACTTTTTTTCTCTGCCAAAGGGAAGCAAGTCTCCTCAGGGTGGATCATCCTTTGGCTTTCAGGTTACATGATTGTTTTGCAGCCTCAGCAATCTGAGGGCTCAGTAATATTTCGTATGTCACCCAGCTGTTGTTAGGGTGGACCAACATTTTTGCAGTAATCCAAAATTACCATGTAATTTCAAACTTGTTATTTTTAGGATCTCAGTTTTAGCTAGCAGAACAATTAACTAAGGCAAGTCCTTCCTTAATATTTCCCTTGTTATTCCTTTAAACAGTATTTCTTTTGAAAGTTCCTTCAGAAAGAAAACTAATATGTTCTCCCCATAACCAAATACCTCTTAATGTCATTTAATATTAAATGACACTTGTGGTTTTTGCTAATAGGCAGCTACAGTATTATTAAATAAGTAGATCTCCCCACATCAGTCTACTGCATTGAGGAGTTTACAAAGTGAATCATGAACAGAAATGAAGAGGAATGAAGGGATATTTTGTGGCTTGTGTGCCAGTGAGCTATAGTTTATAAAATACATACCTGATCACTTGACTACATGCTCTATTATTTTTTTTTAGAGAAATAAAAGTTTATTAAGGAGAAAAGGAATAAACCACATTCTTATTTCATTTATTCTTTAAAGATTTATTTATTTATGCATACAAAAGCTGAGATGCAAGCAGAAATTCAGAGAAGAGAGGATTCACCAGAGACAGTGGAGAGCAGAACAGGTAGATCTACTGATATACACTGCCGAGGGGAGCAGTGAGTGAGACAGGAGAGAAGTCTGTTGCGCCATGTAGGTCAGCTCCCTGGTAGGTGGCTATGGAAAGCTTCAAAGGGCTCCACCTTAACCCTGGCACCATCAAGAAGGCCCCACATGCTCTATCTTAATATTCAGAATTTCAGTATACTTAGATGTAAAAATGTAAGAGACCTATATTTCACTACTTCACTGAAGTATATTATTAAAATCAACTAGTAAATAGGCTGAATTGAAATAGCATTCAAGTTAGTTTTCTCTGGGACTATTAGAAAAAGTCTAATTTTAAATTAGAGCTCTTCTATCACTTGATAAATTCATGTCTGCTTTATCTCAAGCATGTTTAACATTTTTTTTTATATAATTTTTTTTAAGATTTATTTATTTATTCATACAGAACTGGGGTACAGGCCAGAGATGCGGAGGGTGAGAGGATTCACCAGAGACAGAGTGGGGTGCAGAACAGGCAGATCGACGAAGTACACTGCTGAGGGGAGCAGCGGGCGGGTCAGGAGAGGTCTGCCACGCCATGTGGTCTCCTCCGGGGGCAGGCGGGAATTGAACTCATACGGAAGTGGCTTAAGCTTCTTTGTGCAGTGCTTTAACCCGCTGCGCCACCAGGGAGGGCCATGTTTAACATATAAAATATCTAAAAAGGTTGAATACAAAGACTCCCATGTTCCTACTTCTTACCAGTAGTCACTGTTGTGACTACCATCCCCCTAATTTTGTTTTTTTCTTACAGTTTTAAGATTTATTTACTTATGTATATGAGATCTGTGGTACAGGTTAGAGGCTGAGGGAGTAAGAGAATTCACCAGAGACAGTAGAGAAAACAGGCTAATCCACTGAAATACACTGCTGAGGGGAGGTAACAGGTGAGACAGGAGCTGTGCCATGTGGGTCACCTCCCTGGCCAGGGATGGAACTCGTGTTGCAGTGGCTAGCAATAGCTTAATAACACTGTCTTCAATCCCTGTGCCAATAAGGAGGCCCATCCCCCTAATTTTGAAGCAAATTTTGATCATAATTCCTATTACACACTAGTATGTATCCTTAGAAATAAAGATTCACTCTCACCTAAAATTAATCACTATATCTAGAAAAAAGGATTAATTTCCCATAGTATTTCTAATTTATTCCAACTCATTGCAAGAATGGTATTAACTAGAGACCTCCCTGGTGGCACAGGGGTTAAAGACAGCACTTAAAGACCCTGCCACACAGAAAATTATCCTAGTATTTTTCTGCTAGATAATGGAGAGGAGCCTGTTTGGTGATACAAGGGGTTGTCTCAGCTCTATGAAGCTATCTACAGTCACTGCAGCACAAGTTTGATCCCCAGGCCAGGGAGGTGACCCACATGGCACAGCAGACCTCTCCTGTCTCACCCACTGCTTCCCTCAACAGTGTATTTCAGTCAGTTGGCCCATTTTGCTCCTCATGCTGTCTCTGGTGAATCCTCTCACCACTCTGCACCTCTGCCCTTTACCTCAGCTCTTGTATGCAAAAATAAGTAAATCTTTAAAAAAAAAAAAAACTGGAGAGGGACACACAGAAGGGATTTTTATTCATAGATTCAAGTATCTATTAATTTTGGCCGCTTTTGTATTTCGTATCAATTTCTGTATCCAAATTACTGAAAATGGATGTGGATGGACAACTGAAAGTAGAACTTATGAAAGTCTGATCAGAACAGGTGGCAATATTCATTTTCTTTTTTTTGTCTACATCTATTTGCAATTAAGTCTGTCATAGAAAGGTGGATGGAAGCTTACTGAGTCTTTGAAAGGATCCCTGATTAGAGATAGCAATAGCTAGTAGAACTAAAGAATATACCAGAAAACAGAGTCATTTCTAAGGACTTCTGGTTGGGGAACAGCCCTGAATGTTTCCTATACTAGTTTCCTGTACAAATTTCCCCAAAACGTAATAGCTAAAAACATTATTCCCCACAATTTTCTGTGGGCCAGAATCTAGGAGGGGCTTAGCTATGTAATCTGACCCAAGGTCTTTTTTTTTAGGTTACAGTCAAGGTGTAGGCCAGCAGAATAAAATTCCTACTATTTTTAGACTTGAGTTTGATTATATTGTAATGGACTAAAAAGGCAGAAACTAGTCAATATGACTTTGTTTTCAGCCTACTGTTAAATGATGTCACCTAGGAAAAGTATAAATTATTGAATGTTACTGTATACATTAATACCTTGTTCTCATTTGGTACATTGTAAGATGACATGTTACCAAAAAACATGTTACCAAAAAACATGTAGAGAGCAATTCTTTTCCAGTCCTTTATGTCCATATTGTTATCCCCATGGACACCAATATTAAAGTTTTTACTGCCTTGAGTTCAATCAACGTATGGCATGATTTCAATGTGAATCCTTTATTGTCCTGTAAGTTCATGGCATAACCGATATTATGTAGAACAGGTAGTTCTCATTTCTTGATTAGTTGCTCTGCTCTTTCTCTTCTACATTGAGAACAGTATCCACAGTTATTCCTATGTCCTGCAGTGATAAACCTCCTTCCAGCTCTAGAGGCCTTCTGGGAAAAGAAGTAGAAAGGCTGTATAGGGATGTGTGGTACCCGATTTTCATCATCCAGTTAAATAAGACCTGAAAGACAAAAAGCTTATCAAATACTATATACAATTGTGTCTCTTAAGTGACCATCATTCACAGTTCTTTCATTCTTAAAAACATGTCCTACAAGTAATAATTACAGAACTTTCATGTCTCTCAAAGGAACTTTCCAGAGTTGAATGGGAAATAGATGCCATGAATTCTAAAGAGTAAATAAATAAACCTTTTGTTTCAGAGAAGGAATATAGGGTAGCAGAGGTAGCTATTCAACAATTAGAAAATCCCAACCATGGAGAGTGGAAAGGTTATTCAGTTAAGTGGGTTGGAAAAAATGGGTTAGTATTTGGTGAACATTTTTAGATCAAAATATAAGAATAGTCCATTTGAAAGTCACTTAGGAAATCTGTCACAATAATTATGTCCAGGCCCCAATACTCTGCCTTCTCATAGCCTGGTTTTCAGCAGACCACCCCTATTAATTTATATTTTCTAATCATGAATATCCACAATAACTGTCAAAATTTCCACTTACTGTTGCCAAGAAAACAATACCTGCCTACGGATCATTTGTAGCTTCACAGAGAATGATGGATAATAGAATGTTCTAGGAAGAAGTTGAAGGAACATCAGTAATCCCTGTCTCTACATTTACCCACCTTCTAAGAACCTATGATATTCCATGTAGTAAATGTCTATCGATGTTATAAAGTTCCATAATTTTCCAAGACTTAGCCAGTCCCTATATTAATTAACACACTGGTACCTTTGATCATTTGACTTATTCCTGTAAAACAAATTCTCATAAATTACTAGATCAAAAATATTAATATACTAAAAATAAGTAAACTACCCCACAGGAACACACATGAATAGTTACTGAGAATTCCTGTTTCCTCCACAGACTGACCAAATGTGGGCACTATACTTTTAAATCTTTTACAATCTGATAGGTAGAAAATAGTGTCCCATTTTTAGCTGGTACTTCTAAATAGATTAAACTTTTTTTTGTTTTTATCTATTTGGTGGTCTTTAAGAAATTCTTCATACTTGATTGTCAACCAATTATATTTAAAAAAAATAGAAATTCTTCATGTTTTTAAAAAATCTGCCATCATGAGAATTTCCCTCGTGGCACAGAGGTTAAAGATACAGCGTTATCAAGATCTCACCAGCCACTGCAACATGAGTTCAATCCCTAGCCAGGGAGATGACCCACATGGTGTGGTAGACTTCTCCTGTTTCACCTGCTGCTCCCTTCAGCAGTGTTTCCACCTGTTCTGCTCCCCACTCTGTCTCTAGTGAATCCTATCACTCCCCCAGCATCTCTGGCCTATACCCCAGAGATTTATGTATACATAAATCTTTTTTTTAAAAAATGACACTATCATACAAAGATAGTGCAATATTTTCCAAAAGTGTTTTATTTTATACATACAAGAATGAGCCCGACCCCCCCCCAAAAAATTTAATGCATACATAAGTGTATTTCAAAATGCACTCAAAATAGAAATACACAAATACATTAATGTGCAGGTTGCAGATCAAATTTTGTTGTAGTTTTCTATTTTCCAAATTATTACTAATGAACACAGTTATTGTTTTTTAAAGGATAAACTCTTAGAATAAAAGGAAACCCTAAAGAATGGCTTGAAAGTTATATATAAAAATGGGGTTTAGGAGGCATATGAAAAAAATGTTCAGCATCACTCGTGATCAGGGAAATGCAAATAAAAACCACAGTGAGATACCACAGTGAGAATTGCACACATTAAAATTAGCAACAATAAATGATGGCGAGGATGTGGAGAAAGAGGAACTCTCCTACACTGCTGGTGGGAATGTAAACTGGTCCAACCACTCTGAGAAGTTGTTTGGAGGTTTCTCAAACTGCTAAAAATGGAGCTTCCATATGACCTAGCAATCACACTCCTAGGTTATATATCCGAAGGACACAAAAACATTACTTCAAAAGGACACCTGCACCCCTATGTTTATTGCAGCACTATTTACAACAGGAAAGATGTGGAATCAATCCAAATGCCCAAAACAGATGATTGGATCAAGAAGATATGGTACATATACACAATGGAATATTACTCAGCAATCAAAGAGGATAAACTCAGCCATTTGTTGACAATAGAGATGGAGCTAGAAGGATCCTACTAAGCAAAATAAGCAAGAAAGAAAGAGAAAAAATACCAGGTGGTTTCACTCATAGCAGGACTGTAAGGGGGAGGCGGGGAGAGAGTGTCACTGTAATAAAGTAAAATGAAAATTAACAACCATAAACCAGAGATATTCAATGGGAGGTTGGAGGGAGAGGAATAAGATCAAAAAAGGTGAGAAAAGCACATGGGGCCTCGGGACTATGGTGATGATGGCACAGTGGTGAACTGGTAGTGGGAATTCCATGGGGGTTACAACCATGATGCAAAAACATACATTGTACAAAAATGAAGAATGAAGAAAATTATGATGGGGTTTAAGGTAACCATCAAGGATAATGGGAATAAAATTAAGACTGTAATACCTGCAGTCTTAAAAGCCTCTTACCCACCAAGCTGTGAAATGTAATAAAAAGAAAAATTTTTAAAGAATAGGTAAAGGAAGAAGCAAGAAAGTTTTGAATGTAAAAAACACAATTCAAACAGTCCAGTATGTCTACTTATGCAAATTTCTGCAATGTACACAGATAAATGGTCTTTCTTCTAGTCTGATGGGCGTAGCAACAACAGTGACAATTATCTCCCCTACTGCAAGGGATTAAACTAGTACCAAACTCATCAAAAATGTTTCTCAGACTATGAATTTTCTCACCTGTGAGCTGCAAGATTTAAAAAACTGTCTCTTTATGACTCTTCCACTTGGACACCGAAGAGCAACAGTAACTACCTGAAGGGGGAAAAAAAGGTTCAGAAAAGAATTCTAGCTCTGAAATTCATACTCCTATGAAATACCTGATTACATAAACTTATATGGAGTCTTTGTAAGAATATGGCTATTAAAACAAGAGATCAGGGCCCTCCCTGGTGGCGCAGCAGGTTAAAGCACAGCTCTAAGAAGCTAAAGCCACTTCAGCATGAGTTCGATCCCTGCCCCATAGGTGAGCCACATGGCAGCAGACCTCTCCTGTGTCTACTTTGTCAGTCTGCCTGTTCTGCCCCCTACTCTGTCTCACTGCCCCTGTACCTCTGGCTAGTACCCCAGTTCTGTATGCCTAAGTAAATAAATCTTAATAAAAGAAAATAACAGATCAACATAAAGGTTCAGTAGGATTCACTCCAAACATAAAAAAATAATTCCTCTGGGGACCCCCTAGTGGCACAACGCGTTAAAGCACAGTATTATGAAGCTCCCCAGCCAGGGGGGTGACCCACATGATGTGATAGACCTCTCCTGACCCACCTGCTGCTGCCCTCAGCAGTATATTTCAGTACATCTGCCTATTCTGCTCCCCACTTTGGTGAATCCTCTCACCCTCCCCGCCCCTGCCTGTACCAAGGTTTTATATGCATAAATAAATAAATCTTTAAAAATAATAATTCTTCTGAAACGAAAACATCTCCCTATAGACTAAAGAGATCAGTGAGGAGAAGTCATGCAAGACAGCAGAGACAACACTGCTGACACTCAAACTGCCGTGGAGCTTCAAAAGTAATCTACCAAAGTAAGACCCAGCACAACCTCAGACAAGTCAATGGACAAGAAAGACACTAAACTGAAAGAATGAAAGTTACCCACTCTATTGCAGTCTGTGCTATATGATGCAAATCACTCAAGCAAATGAGAGACAAGCCTGGAGTAGGCCTTGGTCTTGTTTTTACCTTTTATGATAATAGAACTCCACACTTTATTGTAAAAAAATCTGGGTAACAATAGAAGGGCAAAGGGAGGCAGAGAAGTCTGGAACGACCAGGCCAACTGCCCAAAAACAGGTCATTAGATTAAGATTGGGATAAAATTTAGAGCAATGAGAACAGGAGCACTGAAGGATGGAATGGGACAGCTGAAGCCACCGAAGGCAAGTGAAACGACAGTTTGTGGACACTTAGTGGGACTGAACTGAATTCTTAGAATTCTCTGAGCAGTAGCAACTGCATAGTATAAACACTCTGTCTAGTGATTCTGACAATCAAAATATTTCAATAATTATTAGCTTTTCTTAATTACTATACAATACACTATAAAGACCAGTATGATCATCTATACATTAGTGATGATAAAACTTCACACACAATATACCTGTTAATATTATAGTATGCACATGTATATCCATATATGTGCTACATGCATATACATATGTGTGTGTGTGTGTGTGTGTGTATTAAGCACCTCCCTGGTGGCACAAGGAATTAAAGCATTGCACCCTGAAGCTATCCATAGCCACTGTAGCCAGGGAGCTGACCCACATGGCACAGCAGACCTCTCCTGACCCACCCACTGCTCCCCTCAGCAGTGTACTTCAGTAGATCCTCCTGTTTTGCTCCCCATTTTGTCTCTAATGAATCCTCTCACCCCCTGCAACTCTGGCCTATTCCTCAGTTCTTGTATGCATAAATACACATTTTTTAAATAAATAAAATTTTAAAATAGAACAAAGAGGACCAACAATCAAAGAAAATAGAACAGGGAGGAGGAAATGGGCATAGTATTGCTTATAAAATGAATAACAGAAGGATTCTGGCTAGAGCAACAGCTACCTAGATACTTCCTCCTGTGGCTTCAGCCCCAATAAGAAAATGGGATGAGATTTATTTCACCCTAATTTTAAAATTCTACTTCTCTGGCACTTGAGTTTATGTTGAGTGAATATAACACAAAATATCAAATAACAGAACAGGGTAGAGAAGAAACAAAATGGAATAACCATAATTTATAAAGGGAAAAGCAATAGTAACTGCCCCAAAGCTTTCTTAATTTTCTAGGGCTGAAGATTCTGGAAAAAAGAAAAAAGCATTAATCACAAATAGGTACAATTTCAAGAGAATCACTCACAAATGGCTATAATCAGTGTTATCTCCAGTGAGATTTTATTTCTATAGGAATAATTTCATGTGTTTCAAAGACAGGGTAAACCTGAGCTATATTTAATCATTACTGTATTATAAATGGTTGTCATAGAAACCAACTCCACTTCAAGAGATGTGAGAATGTAGAAGTATTAGGTCAGACATAGCACAGGCGTGAATTTTGTCTGGTATAAAGGAGGAATTAGAAGTTTTAAAAAAAAAAAATTCTTATTTTATGCATAATGTAAACTGGGTATAGGCCAGAAGTGCAGGAGGGAGGTGTGACAGGATACCCCAGAAACAGAGTGGGGAACAGAACAGGCAGAATGACTGAAATACACTGCTGGAGAAGCGAGTGAAACAGGAGAGGTCTGCTGTGTGCTGTGGGGCAGTTCCCTGGCTGGGGATCAAATTTATACTACAGTGGCTGCTGATAACTTTATAGTGCTAAGACTTAACCCCTTGTGCCAGCAGGGAGGCTCTAGAAGTTTTTTATTTTTAATTATGTTTCTCCTTGGGGTTTAGTATTTGGATTGCACACTTCACTGGCCTATTTTTGGTATGACTTTTTTTCCCCCTCAGCTGTCTAAAAGCCTAAACTTAAATGTTGCAAATGTGTTGACAAAAAAGAGAACCACCCAGTTACTTGCATGGCTGCCTCTAAAACAGTTTCCTAGGTTAGTAAAAGTCACACTCCTTCACACCTCTGGCCTACACCCCAGCTCTTGTATGTGTTAATAAATAAAAAAAAAAAAATCTTAAAAAAAAATAACAACACATGTTCCCTGTGGACATGTCTGAAACTAAGCAAAGGCAACAGCAGGAAGAACACAGCTCAACAGAGTTGGGACTCAGTCTAAAACAGCAAACCACACTTAAGACATTTACAAAGAAGCTGTGTTCTTTGTATTTTCTTTTTTAGGAGAGAAATGCAATTTATCTACCTAATTTGATTTTAAGAAGTAACTCATGTACTAATCTGAGTTTGGAAAAGCCCAAACTCTCCTGGCTATAGTAGGATATAATACAATCCAAGCTCAGTGAACAGTTAAGTATGGTACAATCATGTTAACATTTATGCTAGCTTTTCTTTCTAAATTCACATTTAGATAAGGCAACACTGTCTTAATGTTAAAGAAAAGAGAAAATATATTTTTTCTTCAGAGAGAAAATAGCTTACATCTTCAGCTGATTCAGGAGGTTCTCCAGGTAAATCAAGAACCTAAAGAAAAACATAACAGGAATGAGATATTTTGAAGAAAAACTTAATCTCAACAATTCAGAAACACCTAAGCTTAAAGAAATTTTTTTTAAACTATGCATTGATAGAAAGTTTATGATGAAGGTGCCCTCCCTTGTGGCCACAAGTGGTTAAAGCACAGCATTATGAAGCTGTCTGTAGCCACTGCTGCACGAGTTCAATCCCCTGCCAAGGAGGTGACCCACACTGGGCAGCAGACCTTCCCTGTCTTGCCTGCTGCTCCCCTCAGCAGTGTATTTCAGTCATATGCCTGCTCTGTTTTCCACTCTGGGGAATCCTCACACTCCCCACATCTTTGGCCTGTACCCCAATTCTTGTATGCATAAATAAATATAACCTTTTAAAAAAAGAGAGAAAGTTTAAAATGAGAATGGGGGCTTAGTTACAAACAGGCTTGGGTAAACACATTAATACTTTCAATAGATCATAAAAATAGGATTTGAGGTGAAGCTACCAATAGATATATAATTAAAGAATTTTTATGATGACCCAACATAGTATATAAAAATGTACTATTAAAAACATTAAATATTAACATGAATTAATAAGTTTAATAAGCCCCTAAAGTTATTTAGACTCAAGCATACACACATTTGAATATGAGGCCAAATTTTTCTTCATTGGCACTGTAAGGGGAATGGTTATACTCATTCAGAATCTTTGGTTGCCTTGATCATTTATTTGCATTTGCTTTTCTTGTTTATTTACCGAAAAACTGTATGTTCAGACCACTTTGACTAAAACACTTGTTAGGAACAAGTGGAATGTCAGAGATTTAAAAAAATAATTTAAGATCATATATTTTATAGTTTATAACATTTTTATCTAACAAAAATTAACTGAATTCATTAAATAAATCTCTTTTCTTTGGTATCAAAAGCATACATGACAGTCAGTTAAGTCTGCCATGACCACAAAATCATTCAAGTTATTATTAAGAAAAATCAAACTTGAATTTTTATATAGCCTGTACAGTAATTAGATCCTTTTGAAATAATTTTAAAAATAATTCAGTGACCTGACTTCTATCCCCAACTCTATTAAGGGACAGGGAAACAGACTGAGGAACAAGCATAAGAAACTACTTTTAGAAAAATACCAGCTTTCTTTAAGAGTCAGTAAAAATAGATTTCTTATTTCCAACCTTTTCTAAATCTAAATCAGAATCAACTTAAGGATTAAAGATTTGAAAGAAAATGAAAAAAGAGAGCCCTCCCTGGTGGAGCAACGGGTTAAAATGCAGTGCTATGAAGCTATCCATGGCCACTGTAGTGCGAGTTTCATCCTGGCCAGGGAGCTGACCCCCATGGTGCGGCAGACCTCTCCTGACCCGCCACTGCTCCCTTCAGCAGTGTGTTGAAACACACTGTCCCCTACTTCACACTCTGTCTCTGGGGGGTCTTCTTACCCCCTCACACTTCTGGCCTGTGCCCCAGTTCTTGTATGCATAAATAAATAAATCTTTTTAAAGAAAGAAAGACAATGAATAATAAACCTGTTGCTTATTCCTTCCCTAAAAAAACCACTGAAAAAAATTACACTCATGTCATTAATTACTCACTAAATATGGTTTAGTCATCTTAGTTACCCATAGAAAACTTTCCCTTAGTAAACATTCATTTTCACTTAATGAAATCTTCTCAAAAAGAACTAAAAATCTTCTAAACCTACCATCATTTATCTTCACAGCTTCCTTCTAAATTTGGTTTAGTACATTAAAATTGATAATAAAACAGGAAAAGTGATTCTAAATGAAGCTCATCATTTTATAAGGTAACAAGAAAACACCAACTGTATTAAAAGCCAGTATTCATCTTCACCTCACCCACAAAACATTATTCCCACTGCACACAGATACAGTTCAGGAAGCAGGTAGTAAGTAATGAACCTCCTTCTGCCTGGGCTGTTCAGCAGGTGGTGAAAGTTTGGTTAAAGGCTTAGGCAAGGTCCGTCTCCTTGCTGCTTCTCTGTTTGAGGTTTCGAAAGATGTCTTATCTCCAGTTTCAAGCACCAAATCTTCATCACCCTATCAAAACACAATGAAGAATTTCTTAAGAGAAACTCTCTGTTGACTTTATTTTATTCACAGAAGTTATCTTTTCTATCCTTATAGTATTTCAAGCTAAAAAAATTAAGTCAAAATTAGACCCAAAAACTTAAAGCATCATCTCCATAGAAAAAAAACATAGAGCTTAATTACTTGTGAAAACTACTCTTATCTAGCTCTATGGTTTCCTCTAATAGAAAAGAGGCCGAGAAAGGTATTTCCTTTTTTGACTGACCCCCAAATTTCTCAGGAAGCACGGTAGTAAAAGGAAATATGCATTAAAAGGCTGTGCAGGCCCTCCTTGGTGACACAGTGGGTTAAAGCACAGCACTAAGAAGTTAAAGCCACTCCAGCATGAGTTCGATCCCCAGCCCCGGAGATGACCTATAAGCATGGCAGACCTCTCCTGACCCGCCCACAGCTCCCCTCAGGAGTGTACTTCATCAGTTGGCCTATTCTGCTTCCCGCTCTCTCTCTGGTGAATTCTCTCACCGCCCCTGCACCTCTGGCCCGTACCCCAGTTCTGTATGCATAAATAAATAAATTTTTAAAAAGGCTGTGCAAACAAAAACATATATATGTTTATGTATTTGGCGATACTAAAATGCAACAGCTGAATGTGACCATAGCATCTTGTTATATATAAGTGTATTTTAGTTCTTAAAATCAAACTTCAACCTACCATTTAAATTAAGTACTTTAGGAGGCAACGGAATTGTTTATTCCAGAAATCATAAAAACTATTATACTGTTTGCTAAAAACTAAACATAATGAATATGAGCTTATAACTTAGGAAGCCTTACTTGAGGAAATATCAGAATTCCCTCATAAAAACTAGTGATTTAGTCAACAGTTTGCTTTAGACTACCTGATGTTAGAGCTTTTCAAAGATCTGACCCTTTCAGCATCAAAACTTCACTTACCCATTTAACATACAAAAATGCTGAGTAACAAATGATAAACAATCGTATCACTAGATTTCTAAGAAAAAAAAACAAGCTATACTGGAGATATCACACAATTTGCAATTTTTTAAAACTGATACATATAAAAAGAAACTGAACTCAAAATATATAAAATGGGAATATTTTCTAACCCCAAGTTTATGGCCACTGCTTAACTTCCAGGTTTCACCAGTCATCTGATAAAAGTGTTCTTCCAATTTTCTCAACTTCATTTCCTGGTGTGGTTTTAAAACATTCTCTATGTATCTGCTGGCCTGTTAACAAAGAAAAAATTGTGTCATTACTATGCATTAACAGTTCTCAGATTTGGACCTTCACCGTAGTGCAGCAGTTAAAGTCTCAGCACTCTCAAGCTATCACCAGCCACTGTGGCATGAATTCGATCCCAGTCAGGAAGCTAACCCACTCTTGTGACACCCACTGCTTCCTCAACAGTGTATTTCAGCAGTTTCACTTCTTATGCTCTCCACTCTGTTTCTGGTGAATCCCCTGCCACACCTCCAGCAGACACCCCAGTTCTAACAACAACAACAAAAAAACCCTCAGAGACTGCATCTCTGAAATTCAAAATTCACTTACTGGGAGCTTCAAAATGAAGAAGGACCAGAGAAGAAATTATCAAAAAATAACATAAGAAAATTTCTCAGAACTAAAGGACAGGGTCTCCCTGGTAGTATAATGGTTTAAATCTCAGCACTATAAAGCTATCCAGTCATGGCAGCAGAGTTCAATCCTCCACCAGGGAGCTGACCCACATGGTACCGCAGACCTCTCTGTCTCACCCACTGTTCCACTCAGCAGTCTATTTCACTCAATCTGTTCTTCTCCCCACTCTGTCCTGATGAATCCTCTCACTGCCCCATACCTCTGGCATAGACCCAGCTCTTTAATGAGTAAATAAAAACAAATCTTAAAAAAGAAAAGAAGAACCCGGCCCTCCCTGTGGCACAATGGGTTAGTATTCAGCACTGCAAGATGGCCACAGCCGCTTCAGTGCAAGTTTGATCCCCTGCCCCAGAGGTGATCCACATAGGGTGGCAGACCTCTCCTGACTCGCCCGCTGCTCCCCTTAGCAGCGTACTTCGTCAGTCTGCCTGTTCTGATCCATGCTGTCTCTGGTGAAGCCTTTCACCTTCCCTGTACCTCTGGCTTGTACCGCAGTTCTGTATGAATGAATAAATAAATCTTTTAAAAAAAAAAAAAAAGAAGCAAAAGAAGGACATGTCTAACATACTGGATTCCCGTCACAGTAAACAAGAGCCACACCAAATGACAACATAGTGAAGTTTCACAATACAAAGTATAAAGATCATAAGTTTCTAGAAAGGGATAAAAAACTGATCAAAAGCAATGGCTCGAGGATAAAAATGGCATCAGATATTATAAAATCCCGCTGGAACTTTGAGGATAATAGTGTAATACTTTAAAACTCTAATGATTTGCAAACTGTAATTTCATACCAAATCAAACTATCAATCAACTATCAGAGGAGGGAAAAAAAATCACATATTTTAGAATGTAAAGATTAAAAAATTTTATGTATCATCAGGCATATCTCTGCATAGACTGGGTACTTCACCATACACAAAGACTGACCTATTAATTTTCTTTTGTCCAAGAGGCCAAGTCAGAGAACCCATTGATAAAGTTTTTAGACATATGCCAAACAAAAGAACCCTAACTTTATAACCCTTACAAATTACAGATGTTAATTAACATGCAACTGGAATACAGATAAAGTTATAGCTCACTAACTAGCAAGCAAGTCTTTGAAAATAAGCTCCTTCCATAGGAATTTTAGAAGTTCAAATATTTTATGAGAGCTTCTTACAAAAGACAGTGTAAGGAGACTTTCAATGGTACTAAATATAAATTGGGGTAGTTACAAATGTAGTAACCATCCTTCCCCTTCTGAACAAAAAAGCAGACTGATCATTTTGATGTGTTTAGCCTTGCCTACTTAAAAAGGAATAATCTGTTTACTAGAAAAAGTGATACATGTCAAAATGTTAATGCGTAGGCCTTTGTAAAGGGTTAATATTTAGCTAAAAACCCAGATATTTTTTATTCTTTCTTTAAAAATTATTCTTTACCTTTTCACCTTGTGCCTCTTGCTGCTTTTTTCTCACAAGTTTTTGCCTTTTCTCATTCTTCTCTTCTTCTTCTAGAATGCCAAAACATAAAGGTGCTTTTTAATTCCCAACTAACAATAAATTGAATGCCCTTTTCTCTAAATTTGTAGATCCTAATACCAAGAAACAGGTTCTATTTTTCAAATAATATAAAAGCAAGATACATGCAGACAGCTAAAATAAAGACACCCACAAGGAAAATCTAAAACAAAAGGTCTGTTCTGAAACAAAAATCCTGACATGTATGAATACTGTATGATATTGTATGTTTTGCTAAGGAAGCTCCATGTGGTTGTGGTATGTTGAAGCTAGGGCTTAACAGCTCCAAGACATACCATGGAAATCCCGTACTGCACATGAAGTGTGGAACACCACATTGCAGGCATGAGGAGCGTTGTTTCATCAACCTTGGAATTGATAATGAAAGCAACATGCCTAGATCCCAAAAGTGTATTGTGTGTTTGGCAGCTCTTACAGTGACTGAAGAAATAACCATTTCAGTGGTTATTAGCCACTGAATGTCAAGTGAAAAGATTTCTGCTGTTATATGGGTCTTTATTCTAAGTATAATAAATTTAGGTTCATTTATTTGTATTCCCCAGAAGAATTATTTATCTCTTAAGAAATAATCTCCTGCCCAGCTCTTTAAACAGGAGCATCTCTTTCTGTCAACAACTTTATCTCATAGCAGTAAATATTTCCTCAAATTATTAAAGGAAGATTAGGATAGTAAAGCACAGAAGCTATCAGATGGTTCCATTTGGCCATTAACATATTATGTGATTGGTCAAAATTATCTTAAGATTCCTTTCAAACTCTTGAGTCAGAGAATATAGTTTTTAAGTAAATCAGTAGCAAGGGAACTAATAGGCTTAACTCTTAAAACTGAGAGCTGAGTGCTTCTAAACTTTTGCAAACTTCATCTTGCAAAATTTTACAAAATAAGGATTAAAGTTTTAAATGAAACTGAATTCACTTAAAATCTTATATATTTCAATAACCAGTAACGGTAGAGAAAAAAAGTATGAGCAAGTTACTCACTTGAAGAAAACATGACATTAGGTACTATATGTACTCTTAAATCTTACTAGTTCTAGCTTTTAGTGATACTACCAACACGTATACCAAAATGACTTACACCCCAACAAAAATTAAATACCACAATATACGGTATCTGTTAAGTGCATGTTTCCATTTCCCTTATTTATAAAACACAAAATAACATGTGCTGCAAGTATCCTCCTCATAGTAAAATACAAATTAGAAAGACCAAATTTTCAAAATCTGATTGGGAAGTGCTAAAATTTAAAGCTGGGAGGGCTAAATGTTCAGGTTGAACAGTAAGACCTTTTTTAGGAATATGGTTTTACACACAGTTAATATGATAGTCCCATAACTTAAATAGTGCTCATTTTCCTTTTACGTAACTGTATTTAAATAAACAACAAAATATAATATATGAAATTTGCTGCTGACAAATTCTTTCTACTAAGATATTAGAATGTAGGCATTAGTTTTAGGAGTCACTTGATCCGAGATAAACTACAGTATTGTTTTATAAGGCTCCTAATAATCACAAACATTTACTTATTGAAAAATAAAAAACAGGGCCCTCCCTAATGGCACAGCAGGTTAAAAAGCAGCTCTATGAAGATGTCCACAGCTACTGAAGCATGAGTTTGATCCCTGGCCAGGGAGTTGACCCAAATGGTGCAGCAGACCTCTTCTGAACTGCCTGCTGCTCCCCTCAGCAGTGTGTTTCAGCAGATCTGCCTGTTCTGCTCCCCATTCTGTCACTGATGAACCCTCTTGCCCCACCCCACCCCCCACGCCTCTGGCTTGTCCCCCAGTTCTTGTATGCATAAATAAATCATTATTTAAAAAGAAAGAAAAAACAAGCTTGGTTTCTTAAAATTAAGGTCACTTAACTACACCTAGGAGATAGGGGCCTCCAGTGGCGCAAGGGTTAAAGACAGTGCAGTCAAGCAGTTGCCAGCCACTGCAGCATGATTTCAATCCCTGGTCAGCCAGGGAGCGGCCCACATGGCACAGCAGACCTCTCCTACCCTCTGCACTTCTCAACAGTGTATTTCAGTATTTCTTCCTGTTCTGCTTGCCACTCTGTGAATCCTTTCACCCTCCTCCCCACTTCTGGCCTACACCCCAGTTCTTGAATGCATAAATAAATCAATCTTTAAAAAAAGAGATAAGAGTAAATAAAAACTGTCAATATAGAATGAAAAATAAAACAGAAAACTTTTAGAAGTTAGTAGTAGAAACTTCATCAATTGTAGAATAGTTAAGCACAAACACAGACAACTTAAAATGAAAGTATTTGCAAGCTACCAACAACTTAGAAACAATATAGTTTCAAATGTAGATGTAAGAAAAAATGTGTTATCTCTCACAATACTGAAATTATAATCCAAAATCATGACTAAAAATGTAATAATTACCTTAAAATTATATAGCACAGATTACTTTAAAATTATGCAGCACAGATTGATGGTAAAATGATTCTCACTGTACAAAGTTTTACAATAAAGGGAGGAAATTTGAATAGAAAAATATAAAAAGGTAATATAAACAATAAACTTACCTTTCAGATAAAGTTGGGAAGATTTACATGAGTTAAGCCATGAGGTAGTCACAGAAATAATTAAAGTTAGAAGCGCAAGCAGTAAGAAGATCCGGCCACATAGCAAAATTAGGTCTTTAATTCCTTATAAAAACAAAACAAAAAATAAACAATTAAAATTCAAAGCACTTTTGTTGTTACTAATAATAGCACAGTAAAAGATTACGAAAAGCTACACAACTACATTATGATTTTTCTGTTTTCTTAGATGCTAAAATTCATCATGGTTCCCATTACCAGTATAAGTTTTCATAAAATAATTTCAGAATATCTTCTGTCTCCAAAATGCATGTTTGAGTGACATGCTACATTTTGAATATTATAATTATCAATAATGTATAAATTCTGGTTTCCCTTCTGTCCAGAGGAAATAAAACCCACATCATTAGGAATTAAATTGTGACAGTATCATCTTGTCAAATTCCAGTTCTATTTAAAACATTCATTCTCTTATTATCTGTTGGCCATTTGCATTTCCTATTTGGAAAAGTGTCTTTAAGTTCTGCCCATTTCTTGACTGGATTGTTTATTTTTGTTGAATTGTGTAAATTCTTTGCATACCTTTGTGATCAGTCCCTTAGCAGTTGTATGGAGTACAAAACCCTTTTTTCCCAATTAGCAGTCTATCTCTTTTGTTTTGGTTAATGTCTCTGTTGCTATAAAGACGCTTTTCAGCTTGTCATCAGGGACATGCAAATAAAAACCACAATGAGATACCACCTTACAACTGTAAGAATGGCACATATCAAAAAAGCTAGCAACATTAAATGTTGGCGAGGATGTGAAGAAAACAGAACTATACACTGCTGGTGGGAGTGCAAACTGGTCCAACACTATGGAAAGCGGGGTGGGGGTTCCTCAGGCTACTAAAAATGGAGCTGCCATTCAACCCAGCAATTCCACTCCTTGGGATCATCCAAATGACACAAAAACATTCATTCAAAATAATACTTGAAGCCTATGTTTATCGCAGCACTATTTATAATAAAACCTGTGTAAAACCTGGAAACAACCCAAATGCCCAAAAATAGATGACTGGATCAAGAAGATGTGGTATATACATACACAATGGAATACTGTTCAGCAATCAAAGATAAACTAATGCCATTCACAGCAACATGGATAGAGGTAGAAGAAATTATGTTCAGTGAAATACGTCAGAAGGAAAAAGAAAAACATTGATGGTTTCACTTATAGGAGGAATATAAGGCAAATAAGGCATCAGGGAAAAGAAAATAGTAAAACAAAACAAAAATATAAACCAGAGACATCCTGCAGAGGAGGGGAGGGGTTGGAAGGAAAGAGGGAGGAGCACAGGGGACTGTGGTGACAGTGCACAAGGGAACTGGTGGTGGAAATTCTACGGAGACTACACCTGCAAAAAGAAAGCAAGCATTGTTTAAAAATGAACAATGATGGGCCCTCCCTGGTGGCGCAGCGGGTTAAACCACAGCACTAAGAAGCTAAAGCCATTTCAGCATGAGTTCGATCCCCACCATGGAGGTGACCCACATGGTGTGGCAGACCTCTCCTGACCCGTTTGCTGTTCCCCTCAGCAGTGTACTTCGTCAGTCCACTTTTCCTGTTCTGCTCCCCATTCTGTGTCTGGTGAATCCTCTCACCAACCCTGCACCTCTGCCCAGAACCCCGGCTCTGTATACATAAATAAATAAATCTTAAAAAAAAAAAAAAACAATGATGTAAAATATAAATAATTTTTTTTAATCTCACTAAAACACCAGACTCCAACTTCTCACAAATAAATTATACAACTATGTACTTCTCTATCTTTTAGTATCTATTCATTTGTAAATATTAATTCTCATATACCTGTTTGGCTAGAAAATAAAAATTCAATATTTAGCTTTATATTATTTTAAATACCAAAATGAAAATTAAATCATCAAAAATGTAACTAGTACCAATTTTATGTAATATAATTTCTTAAGTGACAAAGATAAGAAGTAGAGATATAAAGGTGGGTTTAAAATGGTTTCTACTCTCCATTTGCAGCTTAAGTATAATTATCAAAAATAATCAGGCAGAGTACAAAGGACCCATTTTACCATTGTGATCAGGGCTGGTAGTTTATTGTTCTAACAAGCAAGCAATTTGCAAATGTTATGTGGGAATATAAAAGAACTGGATTCAAACATACACCTTTCAAATAAAAAAATGTAAATTACCTTGATTTTTTTGTACCTCCTTGTAAGAGTTCATTCAATTTAAATGCATTCAAAAGATAACAAATGTGAGGAAACAGCCTTACAATATTTAGCTTAAGTACAAGTAAAGTTGTATTGGTAGTTGTATTTTTTATGCATTAGAAAAAGGGATTCTTTTTCAAATAATGTCCAAAAATACAGCATAGGTAAATGAACAGAATTCCATTTTTCCATCTAAGAATTAAACTAGCCACTGCAGCTAAGAATATTATTAGGATCTGAAAATGCTGTCCCATTGTAACTAGCCCTGATGCTGTTGCACTGAGATGTATAATTTGTAAAATAGACTTAACTACTCTTTTTTTTTTTTTAAAGATTTATTTATTTGTGCATACAGAACTGGGGTACAGGCCAGAGGCTCAGGGGCGGCGAGAGGCTTCACCAGAGACAGAGTGGGGAGCAGAACAGGCAGATCGACGAAGTACACTGCTGAGGGGAGCAGCGGGCGGGTCAGGAGAGGTCTGCAGCGCCATGTGGTCACCTCCAGGGCAGGCGGGAATCGAACTCATGTGGAAGTGGCTTTAGCTTCTCAGTGCTGTGCTTTAACCTGCTGCGCCACCAGGGAGGGCCTAGACTTAACTACTCTTACTGGATCTATGGAGAATCAATATCAATGGGAAAAGAAAAGTAAACAAGGCAATAGTTGACAACCTAGAGCAGATTATAAGAGAATTAACTCAATGATTAAGTAAAATCTCAGGAACTATTACTAGATGGAACCCAGCTGCATTTTTCAGAACTCTTGCCCTTCTTTTTATTAAATTAGACATCATAATTGCTGGAAATACAAAATAAATTTTATGTGTTCTCAGTTCTCTAGTGTATTTCTCTGTAGTTAGAGCGACTATGTGAGCAGATCTTCTGCAACCTAGTGACACAAATATTAGTGCAAAGCAGAAAATTCTAGATGAGCAAAATAGAGGTATGGAGGTGGATACTGTAAAGGTAAGGAAGCAGGTAAATTCTGGAATTGTTTAAATGTGAATTTCACATTTCTGTATGTAATTTAGATGAGATCTGCTCAATTCTAAAAGAACTTGAGAATATAGATGGTGGTCTCTGCCCCAAAAATTTTAAATCATTGTATTTTAATTTTTTATTTCAAGCAGCATTTCTGAGTAGCCCGTTGCAGGTTGGGAAGGAGGGGAGAGCTAAAGAAAGGATATTTACAAAAGCTAAGTTTCATTGGGGTTCTAACATTAGAGCTGAGTTTAGTGAGGTAGACAAACCTGTAAAGTTATTTCTAATATGTCCAAAAATGACTATCCAGAGTTTCACCCTTTTCCTTTTCATATCCCCTTCCTAACTGGCACTATCTACTATTTAGAGTTGTTGAACTCAACATATCAAAGTCATCCTTGTAGCCCTCTATTCTTCGCCTCAAACATTAATCCCTCAACAAATCTGTTGATTCTGCCATGTAAATACCTATTTTCATCCCATTGCAAGTCATCATAATGTCCTGCACACCTCCAAAGCCTAATCACCTCACTTTTTCTGTAGCTGGGTGGTACCTAGGAAAAGGGGAAGTTCCAGGCTCCCTGCCCCACCCAGAAGGAGGGTGGAGCTGAGGAAAGAAAAAGAAGAGGAAGAATCTGAGAAAAAGGAAGCAGGATGCACCCTGAGGAAGCCACATGGAACAGGGAGTATGTGATGATGAAACCGTGCTTGTTTCTTGGCCCTGGACTGGTTGAAAGAGATGGGGGTGAGAGACCCGTGGGGAAGTTGACTATGGCAGTGTTTATATTGATTTTGATTTTGCTCTTTTCCTCAGACTTGTCTGGCCATTTCTGACCCTTTTCTATGGTTCCAGGCCAGAAGGTGCTTTAGCTTGTGGCAGCTTTCAGGCTTTCTTTTGGGCCAATCCCTTCTGGGTGGACTTTTGCCCACGAGGGGATGGGTAAACTTCAGGTGTTTCATTTAGAAATTATACTCTTTGTCTTCCACATTGTATACTCACTGTATTAAATTAGTTCCTTTTCATGAAAGTCTTAGATGTTTTGTCTTGATGCAGCAGATGGCAGAACCTATTTAGAGCAGGCAAGGTTTGGGGGTTCAGTAGTGTCCCTCTCCCTGCCCTATAACATTTCACCTGGAGTTTTCTTCCAAAACACTCTCCACAAAGAATTCAGTTAGCTTCTTAAAATCTTATGAGAGTCACTTAACCTCCGGTACCTGGTTTCCTAAAATGTAAAGTGGGGGGTTATAGTACCCACCCCTATGATTGTCTCAGACTGGAGGAGATAGTGAATAAACAACACTTGGCCTTAGGCTTACAAGCGATCAACAAATACCAACTTGAGTCACTCTTCTTCGGTTCCTTGATCCAATCACAATAGTTTCCCTCCTTTCCCTTCATGGAGACAATTCCTTAGGTCTGCAACGTCCCCCCACCCTGGCGTTCCAAAGGTGGGCGTTTCAAAGGACTGTGCCTCCTTACTTCAATCTCTTATTACACTCTTCAGAACTTAACCACCTAGTTAATCCATTTTGATCGAGCACTCAAGACATTTTGAAAATAGTGCTTATGCTTGTTCCTGTGCTTTCCGCCTGTCTTCTTAATACGAGAAACTTCACCAGATGTAAAGGAGCACTCCTCCCTGGTGAAGTGGGTTACCCTAGGCGGTGAGCGATTTGCTCCAGGACGCACCCCGCGGGAAAGGGGAGGCAGGCGAGAGGCAGCCTGGGAGTCGTAGTCAAAGTCGCCTAGAGCGACCTCGCCTCGAGACAGAACTTCGATGCGACAGCATGGGGCAGTTACCCCGGTGAGCGCCAAGACGGAAAAGCCAACGCTTACCTAGATCCGGGATCCCACGCCGGACCTCCAGGCACAAAAGGGGGAGCGCAGACAGGATGAAAATACCGACGACCCCACGAGAAGCCATGGTGGCTGGCGACTTGCGTCCGGTGGAAACACCCGCCCCTTCCGTTTGCTTCCTCCCCTGCAGTGGGGAAGAAAGGATTCTGGAGAAACACTCAGATGTGAGGTCGTTGGTCACCCTGAGCCAAGCCCCTCCGCTTGCGCTCATAACCTGTAGCGTTGTGTGAAGAAATAACAAGTCATCGCCCCATGTCACAAGATGTCCAGAAAAGACGCCCTGCCAAGCCAAGCTGTGCTGTGAAGTTGAAGCCCAGGCTTTAGTGTGGTTGATCCCTGGAGGCGCCTGACTGGCCACCAGACTGTGGAGACTGTGAGCTCACAAGAGTAGAAGAACTGGAGAGAAAAGTGTACCGGCAGTGGATGCTGTGGGAGGCAATCTGGTCTGGGACTTTTGTCTGTTGGCAGTGGCTGTGAGATTATGGGCAGAACTACCAAAAGGGCCTCAAAGCATGTTCTTTCTCTCGCTGATGGCCCCTGGTTCTTTCCGTGGTCTCTAGTTCCTTGGAAAAGACATTCACAAGCTGGACTGCTAGCTAATTCCAGATTCTGGAGCTCCCCCTCCCCACCCCAGCCCTACCCCTTGTCAGTTTTGCCAACAGGTATCATTGTTAATAACTCAACCTTACAGCTCTATGACCTCACTGACATCCCATGACTCACCTCTGGCTATTCTGTCAATTTGCATTTGGCTTAAGCTAGGAGATCTTTGCAACAGACAAGATTTCATATTGTGAAATTCCCTAAGTGCTATGATAGGGACTTCATGGGATGCTAATGATCCCTGCTCTAAGGACTGGACTTTCCAAAAAGACACCATGCCTATATTGTGTTGAAAAGTCTAGGAACCCAGAGGACAAAAGCAAGAGCAGGATTTCATGTTTATAAACAGTACGGGGAGGAACTACCAGCAGTTAAAATTTACTACAGTTTAAAGCCTGAACAGAGATGAGATTTGAGATAGTAGAAGCCAAATACTTTATGTCCCTTAATACCTTGTATTTAAGCATCCATGTTCTTTAGCTTCCTATCTTTATCAGTGAAGCACTATGCATATAAATTATAAAACTAATAACTTATTTAAAATTGTATACTGCGACCCTCCCTGGTGGTGCAGCAGGTTGAAGTACACTAAGAAGCTTAAGCCACTTCCGCATGAGTTCGATTCCTGCCTGCCCTGGAGGAGCAGACCTCTCCTGACCTCTCCTGACCCGCCCTCTGCTCCCCTCAGCAGTGTACTTTGATCATCTGCCTGTTCTGCTCCCTACTCTGTCTCTGGTGAATCCTGTCACCCTCCACATCTCTGGCCTGTACCCCAGTTCTGTATGAATAAATAAATAATCTCTGGCCTGTACCCCAGTTCTGTATGAATAAATAAATAAATCTTTAAAAAAAAATTGTATACTGCTTGGGCCCTCCCTCGTGGCGCAGCAGGATAAAGCATAGCACTAAGAAACTAAAGCCACTTCAAAGCCACTTAAGCATTAGTTCAAACCCCGCCCACCCTGGAAGTGACCCACATGGAGTGGCAGACCTCTCCTGACCTGCCTGCTGTTCCCTTCAGCAGTGTACTTCCTTGATCTACCTGTTCTGCTCCCCACTCTATCTCTGGTGAATCCTCTCACCGCCCCTGCACCTCTGGCCTGTACCCTAGCTCTGTATGCATAAATAAATCTTTAAAAAAACAAACAAAAAAAATTGTATATTGGTTAAAGTTTCAAAAGCCACATATTAAGTTTCATAAGACATATTTAGATAACAGTGAGGAGGGGCAGCAGGGTGAATTTAGACAAAGTGTGGTATTGTTATACAAGGAAATATGACTGAAATTTTACAGCCACTTATTATGGCACAGGTATTACAGGTACCGGAGGTACAGCCCAAATGTGACAAGAATCCAGTTCTCTGTTGAGTTTGTGTATGGTTAATTTTATGCATCAACTTGGAGGGTATTTTGGATAAGATTAACATTTAAAGCAGTAAACTTAATAAGCAGGCTGCCCTCCCATATGGTTTAGAGCCAGAGGGAATTCTCCAACAGAATGACTTTAAAACTCCATTGGGTGGGACTCTGCCTAGTTGACTTTGGACTGGAACAGGAGCTATAAAATTGGCTTTTATTTCTTTTAAAGATTTATTTATGCATACAGAACTGGGGTACAGGCCAGAGGTGCAGGAGGTGAGAGGACTCACCAGAGACAGTGGGGAGCCGAACAGGCTGACTGATGAAGTACACAGCTGAGGGGAGCAGCAGGTGGGTCAGGAGAGGCCTGCTGCACCATATGGGTCACCTCTGGGGCTGAGGATGAAACTCATGCTTAATTGCCTTTAGCTTCTTAGCTGTGCTTTAACTCTCTGTGCTACCGGGGGGACCAATATTGGCTTTTCTGAGTATCCAGCCTACTGGCTCAGATTTGCACTCAATTGCTGATTTAGACTCACAGGCTTCCATAATCATATGAAACAATTCCTTAAATATCTTTGTATAAATAATTTTTAACCTCTTCATATAAATATGCATACTTATATACAACATATAAAGCATATTTGTATGTGTAAAACATAAATGCCACATTTACATATGTCAATTGTAATTGTTAATACAGTGTACATTATATATAATATATATACACTATATATATACACATTATATATATATATACGTAACTATCATATCAATATAAGCGTGTAACACACATTCACACAAATATATACTTTTGGTTCTCTGAGAATCCTAATACATAGTGAGAAAGACAGAAGAAAACCAACATAGGTTTTCCTGGCTCTCCCTGGTGACACAATGGGGTAAAGCACAGCACCATGAAGCCAGCTGCAGCCACTGAAGTGCAAGTTCAATCCCCCTCCAGGGAGGTGACCCACATGATGAGGCCTCTCCTGACCCATCTACTGCTCCTCTCAGCGTTGTATTTCAGTACATCTGCCTGTTCTGCTCCCCACTCTGTCTCTGGTGGGTCTTCTCACCCCCAAACCTCTGTCCTGTACCCAAGTTCTTATAGGCATAAATAAATAAATCTTTAAAACATACAATAACTATAACTTAAAAATGAAATCCATGATCTCTAGGTTAGTATGTACACATTCATTCATTCAACAAATATCCACTGCTTACCAACTTCATGCCATCAAGTGCGCCAGGAACTAGAAATACATTGGTGAGCTAAATCAACACATTCCTGCTCTTATGAGTCTTAACAGTGTACAAAGCAACACTTAAATACTTAGGTATATAACTACTATATATGAAGTAGGAAGTGCTTAAAAGTACAGGGAATTGTGAAAGCACAAAACAGTTTATGTAGTCAGATTCTAAATGGTGCCAGATAGTATCCAGAATAGAAACTTCTATTTTCCTTTTTTCCAGATGATATTCTCAGATATTTTGCTGAGATTTTGGAGAAGCTATTATGTAGTGAGTTTCTTGTGTTTTACTGCATCTTTAATGATTTTCAGTCAGTTTTCTTTGTTTTAATACTGCTTTCACTTACTCTCTCTCTTCCAAAAATATCTGTTGCTTGCACTTCCTCAGCATTTTAGAGATTTTGTATTGTAGCCAGCTTTGTGCTTAGCATCTAGATATTACTAATTTGAGAGTCTGCTTTCTTGGATCTGAGTCTTCTACTACTTTTCTGTATGCCAGCTGCAGCCACTGAAGTGCAATGTCTTATTACAGATCTTACTCTTTTGTTCCTTGTATACTTGTGGACTTGTGCAATTCTTATGACATTTTCTTGTCATTTAGTGAAATTTCCAAAGTAAGTAAAAGTTGATTCATATGTCTAACATTATCCCAAAGTTAGTCATCTTTTTTCACTAAAAAAAAATCTTTGGAAGAAATCTTTGGAGTATACTTCAGATCAGTGGTTCTTAAAAGGATACTGTGATACAGATATCATGTTTAAGGAATGTTAGGTATTAGTGTCCTAATTTTACAAATAATCAAGCAGACTGTAGGGAGATTGTAACTATAGTCTTTGGTCTCTATCCAGCAAGTGACAAGAGTTGCAATTAGTACTAAAGTTTACCAAAAGTCAGCCCACATTATACCATACCACCTGCACTCACATAAAGAGCCAAATAAGGAATACATAAATAATACAAGATAAAACTAAATATAAAACTAAAACAAGAGAGAAAACCCTGGTAAATCTTTTCTTAAAGATTTATTTTTATTAATTCATCCAAGACCTGAGGCATAGGCCAGAGGTATGAGGGGTGAAGGGATTCACCAGAGACAGAGTGGAGAACAGAACAGATTAACTGAAATACACTGCTGAGAGGAGCAACGGGCATGACAGGAAAGATCTACTGCGCCATGTGGGTCAGCTCCCTGGCCAGAGATTGAACTCAATGTTGCAGTGGCTGTGGATCACTTCATAGTGCTGTGCTTTAACACACTGTGGCACCAGGTGAGGCCTAAAATAAATCATAAAAAAAAAAGGTTTTAAACATTTTATAATTTTTTTTTCATAGAAAAACTAGGGTATAGGCCAGAGGTGTGGGGGTGGAGGTAGCTCAGAGTATTCATCAGAGACAGAGTGGGGAGCAGAACAGGCAGATTTACTGAAATACATTGTTGAGGGGAGCAGCGGAGGAGATAGGAGAGGTCTGCTGTGTCATATATGGGTTAGTATCAAACTGAAGCTGTAGTGGTGGGCCACCAGGGAGGTCCTGAACATCTTATAATGTAAGAGGAAATACTGTGACCAATGTTCATTCAAATTGTACTCTTTATCTAATATTTTCAGGTTTGTTTTTTTTTTTTAAAGGTTTATTTATTTGTGCATACAGAACTGGGGTACAGGCCAGAGGCTCAGGGGCGGTGAGAGGCTTCACCAGAGATAGAGTGGGGAGCAGAACAGGCAGATCGAGGAAGTACACTGCTGAGGGGAGCAGCAGGCGGGCCAGGAGAGGTCTGCCACGCCATGTGGTCACCTCCGGGGCAGGCGGGAATCGAACTCATGTGGAAGCGGCTTTAGATTCTCAGTGTTGTGCTTTAACCCGCTGCGCCACCAGGAAGGGCCCTATTTTCAGTTTTTAGTAACT